CTCTCTCTCTCTCTCTCTCTCTCTCTCTCTCTCTCTCTCTCTCTCTCTCTCTCTCTCTCTCCCTCTTTCACAGCCCTTCTCTTTCTCGTAAAACGCATCGCTCCTTCTCGCGCTATATATAAATATTAAAATTGTGTTACACTCAATATAATAGATAAACGTTTCCGATATGGTACATTAACAGTGAGCTAAGCACCAGGAAAGATTTCTTCAGATCACGCGCGCGTGGTTTTTACTCTCTCTACTTTATTGGAACTATATGTGGTCCTCTTTTTTGTTATTCTGCGTCGCTGGCGTCGCCGGAGTAGGATCATCATGGAACATTGGGTTCTTCACCTCCATTTCGCCAGTCTTTAACACATTAAATCATCAGAGAGTCAATCATTCTCGGAATATAGTTTGCGATGGGGTTTTAAATAAATTGGAAATTTTAAGTCCCGAGACAGAGATTACAACTATTTATATGAAAAACTCACAGATGCAAGTCCTGGACATTCATAAACAGTGTAGTCACCCTCTTCGTTCTCTTCATCGCTCTCCGCTTCCGAAAGGGAACCCGGATCTCTCGTTGCAGAAGTGCGACTGCAATAAACAAATATCTGTTAACATCATTCTCAAAAAATATTTTTTTCTGTATTCCTAAAATTCCTAAAAACTGATGAATTTCGACATGTACGTTCATTTTTTAGCAACTATATCGAATATCTTTCGATAATTATTTTTATAAACAAGTAGAAAATTGAACTTACTTTTCCATAGCGATAATTTGTTGTTTTTGGTGTTGGAAATGATACATCTGGGCGGATTGGGCGAGTCTCTGATCACCGGAAGGCGATACATCCTTGTTCGGTCCTGTCACTCCATAAGCAGGATATTCTATGTCTGCTGCAGCTTTCGCACCGCGTTGCAATCTAAAAATTAAGTTTCGTGAAATCGCACAACTTTTTCGTTATAAAACGAGCAATCGAGCGACGAATTATTGTAATCAGCATTACCTGCACCACGTTAAACTGATTAATACTAAAGCGAACATCGCGGCTGCACTGCAACCAGCCACAATGGCTAAAAACATATAGGAAGAATGATGCTTAATCGTGTTGATTGACAAACTTTGGATAATTTTTACAATCATTATTTTGCTCTTAATGCTTACCGATGAAATAAATGTCATTATTTAAGTCATGATTTACGGGCACGATTATAGGCGGATGATGTTCTGTAGATTTTTCCGGTTCCGATACGTCAAGTTCTGCGGTTAAATCCTTCGGCATCTTCGGATTAACATGCCGCATATCATCTTCATGTTTTATCAATAGTCGCTCTTTATCCGCAATTTTTTCCTTCCAATTCATCCTCGAAGCATCTTGCCAATCTAAATCATCTAGGAACGCGTAAATTTAATGTCATTTATAGTCTTGAGAAAAAAAACAATGGCTGACGGGAACTATACTTATCGGCAGGTCAAAGTAATTATAAAAAAGAAGAGTTTAAAAAAAGAAAGGGTTAATATAAATATAAGTAAAGGAATTATTGATGCTTGTATAAACTGATGTAATTTGACCCTTCCAAGGCTCTGCCTAACGTAATATTTATCAAATTAGATCTCGTGAATGAAAGTTAAAGATCCTCTGAGACAAAAACTAATTGCGAATTAAAACTGATGAATAATAATATAATTCATTTAATAATGTAAGTTCATTAACAACTTTTTCTAAAAGGAAAGAAAAAAAGATGCATAAAAAATAATGACATTTTAAGATTTTTACATTATTATTTTATTTGTATTCTTTTTCTTTATGTAGATTATATGAAAAGCTAAGTTGTGAAATATAACGGATAGACGTTCCTGGATAAATCTCTCATCTTTTTCAGGATTGTGCGCGTTTAAACAGATTATAAAGCACGACTCTACGGAATTACAGTAAAAAAGGCGCATCGATCAATCATATAAATGTTTACCCGACGAAAACGGTGCTGTGCCGTAATATCTAGGATCGTTAGGCTTCACCGCAAACGGATGCTTCTCCTTGAGATTTGAGTCGTCGAACTTATATGTGAATTCCGGCCCGGTCGCTGCTGTTGCCGGCCGCACAGCAGCCGCTTCTCTTCCACTTTCATCATGTAACACGCTTGTCGCGTGATTATGATTTATATATTTCTCCCGGAAATTGATCGCATCTCTATCAACATCTAAAGTTTGCCCATATTCAAGATCCTTGGAGAAAGGATCGTCGTTCTCGTTCGGTTGTTTTTCTTCGAGGTAATCAGGATGCTTGAGATCCGGATTATAATAAAGGTATTCCGGTTCTCGATCCACTATCCGATCTGCGTCGATCCGATGGTTCGAACCATACGCATGACGCAGCCACGTTTCCAGCTTCTGCTTCAGAGTGTCCAGAGTTGCTTTTCTTTCGGCCAGGAGCTTTAAGGTCTCGCGTTCCTCCTGCCGATCCAACAGATTGTTGTGTTTCTTGTGCATCGGCGACAGGAACGTGGGTAGATGCGACCGATGAAGACGTTGCGCCTCCAGATAACGGGCCAGATGCTTCAGCGCGATATCCTCCGACGTTTCCGGAAGCGCATCTACATACAACGTCAATTTAAAGAGATGAAAGACATACAGCTTGTTTTCGTTTAATGCCGCATTTTATCAATTAAATAATCACTCAACTATCAACTTTATTCCAAAACTAACTCCAATATGAAATTTGTTTTTCAACACTAAACAAGAGACAGGACCAGCATATTAACTTTAACACATTGACTTTAATCCGGTTGCAGACATTACGAATTGAAATGTCGTGAATTATTGATCGTTAAATAATTGGACTTATATTCAACTTGGTTTGTTATCATCGAGCTTCCAGCCGCTTCCTGCCGTTTATACATGCAATCGAGTTGGTCTGCGGCCAAGAACTTTTGCGATAACACCGCAGTTTAATCATATTCCCGTTAAAACTTCTTCCTACATGGGTTCATATGTATTTGCACGTAAAATTGAAATTTTACTCTTAAAAAATCGTTATATGTTACCCGGTTGTCGGTAAGAGTTGAAACAAATTCTAATCGCATCACAAACAATCCCGCAATTTATTCTTGACCTTCAAGTCTTAATTACGGTTCGAAGATAGAAAATCATTATGGGCGTTTCGTTTTGGATTATCCGTTCATTAGTCTCGTGAAGACAATCTATTATAAAGAGATGAAATCTTTTTATATTGCGTAATATAATTAGTAATATAATTAGTTAATAATATAATTAGTTAATAATATAATTAATTTTTATATTATATTCGGAAATCTTTGAGTTGTACTAAAATTTTAATAAAAGGATTGAAGAGAAATAGAATTCTAGAATCATTTTTTATTATTTAAAAAATAGATTTAAGATTTAAATAGAATTTCGTTGAATTTTTGATGATAAAAAAGATCATAAGCATAATGATAATAATTTGCGATAATTATCAGTGCTTGCTTTCATTTTTAATTTTTTTATCACTTACTGCTTTGTCGCGTCAAAATTCTTCAAAGAATTGATATTATACAAAAAGAAATTTTTGTCCTATGTATATTCTATTTAAAAAATTTAGATCATTTTAATATTCTTAAAGATTCTTTTCATGACATATTTTTCCTCATAACATATCCTCATTTCCTCATAACATATTTTTTTCAGTGCAAACCAATTAAGCGAATAGATTTGTACGAAACACCCAGTCGATTATGTTTCGGCATTTAATCAATCAATTCATGCTGATTAAAAATAAAACGTGATTACTATTGAAAGGCTACAAGTGGGTCTTCTTCATGTCATTCCCCTTGGAGACGTTGTCTTCTAAGGCCGTAGACTCTACCCTACTCACCCTGATAGAAGAGCTCGCCGGTGGACAAGCTGAGCAGAAGCGACATCAACGTCAGGCAAGTGCAGCCCCGTTGAAGGAGCATCCTCTCGTCGTCCTCGTCGTCACTGCTGTTGGTCGGCTGCTGAGGATCCTACTGGGTCTTATCGTCCCTCTATTCGTGTCTCCATATGCGAGAAAGCACGTCACTTCATTCAGGGCGGACGGTGAGCTTGCGCGATCAGCACGGCTTTGCGTTCAATCAATAACGACCACCACACCGACTTTCACCCTCCCACACCAGCTTCGTTTTGTTCTGACGTTGCGCGAGTACTCCGCGTCTCCACTTCCTCGAGCGCGTATTTTTCCTCCTCTTCCTCCGCCTCCTCCTCCTCCTGCTCCTCCTATCGTCGCGTCGACGATTAGTATGGGCGCATTAGATGTCATTAAGCAGCTGCCGCATGTCCCCACTCTATACACCCGCATTCGCACATGCGAGAATTTGTTCCGTTTACAAGATTGCTGTGGTTCCGATTCACTTTTTGTCTGCCGGGACGTTCACCCTTCGATTTATTTGCTGAACATATCGATGGAAGTCCCTCTCCGAGTCCATAATACGCTCGATAAAGACAAAACTTTTGAGTAGTATTTTAGTAGTATTTAGATAGATTTATCCCATTCCAAAGAAAAATGTACTATTGAAAAAAGAATATCATCAAATATTAATATTAACATAGAAATATTTGAGTATTTTTAGTTTAGATTTAATATTTAATAATAAGGATATAATACTAAGGAAACTCAGGATATCTGAATGTGACTAAATGCTACTGTTTTTTTAAATTTAGCGTTTTATTTCGTAACAATCATTTATTTAATCGAGGTACAGAAAGTAGTTGAAGTAAAAGTACATCAATTCTTAACGTTTGATACATAATTTCATCCTTTTGATTCTTTCGAGTCCTTTTGATTTCATTCCCGATGACAAATTACATCGATTCATTATTTATTTATAGATAGCCATAATCTTTAATTACATTGACGGACTAACGCAATGAACATGTCACATAAATAATAATAATAATTCGGAATCTTGTGTCCAAAGTATGCCAATCTAAAATTCTCACATTTTTATCCTCTGCTTTTATCAGCTTGATTAGTCATCATAATTTTGCAGACATGATTACAAGGAAAGTTACAAGGCAGTACAAAAAAATCGATTCAGTTATATATAATTTAATTATATATACATAAATCGATGATCGTACGACTTTAATCATCGAACAGAGACTCATCCTTTGTGAGTAATCGAATTGGTTTGCGCTTTTCATCGTTATTTTGTTTTCGTCTGCGATTTGTTACGCCATCAGAAGCATCCATCATTCGCAATATCTGCGTCTGATCGGAACAATCGACCGGTGCAACCGAAATGTCTCGCACTGCTCTAAACTTCCCACAATTATTCAAATGCTCGTTCTCCAAACGGAAGAAATTCCATACGAAACGTCTGTCAAACAAACATGTAAATTATTCGATAATTCCATTTCTTCTGATCACTGTACATTTGTAATACATTTTTTGAGAAATCCATATCCACCACAAACATGCAAATTATTGCATAATGGTAACTCAAAATATAAAATAAATTAAATAATTAAATAATATTATGTAGCATAGAACTTGAATGTTTTATAAAATCGTTAAATATCAAATTTTGAAATATATATACATATGCGTAAATAAGAAATTAAAATAAAAAATAAATTACAACGTGTCAGACATCGTGATCATGAGTTTCCACTAATCCTTCATCATTATCATCATCTCCATTGTCGTTATTCTCATTTGTATTATCCATTAGATGGATCATATTTTTCAGAGTGTCTTCGTCACGTCTAATAGGTCCTATGGAAATATCTCGTACTGCTCGGAACTTGCCTACGTTGTATAGATGCTCGTTCTCCAGTCGAAAGTAATTCCACATGAACCTTCTAGCGACTTATTAGTAAGGCACAATGATAAGCGATTAGATTGGCCGGTCATCGTCGATCAAGTCGCTGCTTTTGATTTTCGACGATTAATTATTTTGTTACTATATAAAACGACGTGCAAACGACATTATAATAGGATCATTACACATAATTTCGAATAGTGCGAATAATTGCAATGATTTAATTATATTTTAATATTTTAGGAAATGAACCTAGAATTTAAATTTAAGAATCTTTTCTTTTCTTTTTTTTAATTTTTATTACAAGTTGGAGATACCAAGCCTAAACAAATTTTTATGTTTATATATTTATTCTTTTGTATAAAGTCCTGTAATACAGTCCATATACATACACACATATATATATATATATATATATATATATATATATATATATATATATATTATTATTTTA